TTTTATCCATAAACATAGCACTTTAAGAAGCCCAGTAACAACTGGGGTTGGGGGTGGGACTTGACAGTTTAAAATAAGGCTATTACAAAACCAAAGAAATACAATATAATGTACATCTTTGGGTTCTAAAAAATCTTTACAATCTAAACAAAGAAGGAAGTATATGGAAAAGCACCACTACATATTCCCATCATAATTGATCATTAAAACATGACTGTGAGTATTGGAAGATTGGTGTGTGTGTGTGTATGTGTGTGTGTGTGTGTGTGTGTGTGTGTGTGTATACTTTATATTTCTATAATGTTTCTAGAAAAGAAAGAAAACACATATAAATTATCCATTCTGTGCTACTTTTGAAATAAATTGTGCATTTCCATCATGAAAAAAAAAAGAAGTCCAGTAACAAATACATATTTAAATTTACTGTAGGTAAATAAAATATATCTTTCTTCTCCAGTTCTCCAAATGAGACACCCTCTCTTGTGTATTTCACTTTATTCTTGGAGAAGCTCAGTTCATCTTTAACAGGCTATACTCCTACTGTGGCCACTCTTTACAACTCAACATTTCTACATTCATGTGTACTGGTCTGCTGTCATTAGTATAGGTAGGTTACTCCTACATTTTTTACATCTTTTCAGAAGTATTCACAAGATGGACACGGCATTGTAAACTATAATCACAGCACTTGGGAGCCTGAGGCAGGAAAATGAGCTTGAGTTTGTAGCAGCTTTGCCTACATATTAAGTTCCAGGCCAGCCTGGGCTACACAGTGAAACTCAATTTCAAAAAACAAAGAAAAAAAAAAAGAAAAGAAAGCATTCTCAACCTGGTTAATTTCATGTGCCACTTAAGGAAATGTTTTTTTAAAGTGGTAACTGAGTTACTTTGATTTTCTAACTTATTTTCCTTTTCAGTTCTTGTCTTAAAAGCCCTATAAAGTCTTCCCACCAAAATGATATAGGAAAAGTATTAGAATGAATGAATTCTTCAGGGATGTTAAAAAAAATAGTAACTCCTACCAGCCCCAGGAGTTGAGTTGTACTGCTGCCCAAAGTGAGTAAATGGTCTCTGTCCTTGAGATCTCAGGATCTGAACCAATCCATCCATCGGCAACCTGTCCATATCTCACTACATCCCCTCACCAAATCTACCAAGCAGGGATGTCTGGCCTCATTAAACAAGATGAAAACGTGGACACTCTTAGGCTACCTGTCTTGTTCAAGACTGTGTTGCTGAAAGTGTCAGTTCCAAGGACTTAAAACTCTAGCCTAAAACCGGAGCCTTTCCTGCTAATGTAAAATCACAACCACCAAACTTCCAAAAAGGAAACTTACTTTCTCTAACCTACACAGACGATAATCTTCCCAAGAACACACCTTGTTTCTTCTCTATTCTTCATCTACTCTATTATCTATAGACTGTTAAGACCAACATGAAAATCAACACAATTCCTGAACCTAAAGTAAAAGCGTGCAAATATCCAAGAGTGGTGGAAACAAACAAAGAGAAGCCCCAAAATGACCACTGGCCAATAAAAACGTACTCATTACTTAACAGGTACTCCAGACGAACCTGGGGTAGAAAGTAGCTGGTTATTACCTAAGGAATTCTGCGCTGCTACGGGGTAAATGTCAAAGACCAGCTCTCTGCCAATTCCCCCTAAATCTGTCAACCTGAGCAGATGGAAGCTAGATACTGAGAAAACACCAGAACGAGGGAGAATACTTAGAAAGGGAATTTGTTACCATCCTCACCTGGGTAAAAAAAAAAAAATGATGAAGAAAACACTCATCTACAATAAACGCCAGAGAGAGAATTTTCCCATGCACAGGGGAAAAAAAGAGGAGGTGTTGGTAGAAGGAGTGACCATCGGGTTCCAGACAAAATGCCCAGAGGCTGAACGTGGGGCTCGAGCGCCCGCTCGGTACCTCCGTGGCCCCGGGTCTGCAGAACCCAAGGATGGGCTCCCAGGGCTCCAGCTGGCCTCACGAAGGACCGAGGCTCCTGGGGCACGGAGGCCACGAAGCCGTCCCAAAAGCCCGAACGCC